GCTTTTCATGCATTCATTTATGTAATCTTTGCAGACAAATTGGCCTTATAAAGTCTCTATTCCAACACATTTGGGAAGTGGATTTATTTATTTTTTTAAACACTCTTAACACTATTAAGAGTGTTTTGCCATGGTACAGTGGTTTGAACATTTCAGAGCCATGCAAACTTTACACTCTCCGCTGGGTAGCATCAGGCCGATAGTTGTCTGATGTCGCCCATTGCTGTTAAAGATACACTTTGCATGTTAGAGGCTCTTTTTTCTTTTACAGTTCCTCCTCTTATTCTTGTCTTTCTCCTCTCGTCCACATGTGGTCTAAAGAGGTTATCGTATAGAGCGTACCACATCTGGATGACTACACGCTAAGTCTTTCTCGTACCTCTGTCATTTCAGGCCATTGTCATCCCCCATTTCATTGTGTGTCCATTCTACAGGCCTAATGGTGTGTGTAATACACTCAGATAGCTCAGAGTCCCCCAACACTTTTCTCTACAATGTGGGAGTGTGAGTGAGGGAACAGAAAGAGGTCAGAATAGGAGCTTAGTAAAATGACATTGGTGTATCACAATAAACAAATAAACACGTATTCTTTTTGCCAAAATGTGAGTAAAGCTTTTTAATACACAAATGCAAGATTCATAAGATTTAATTGAAAAAGAAAATCTGCTATCAGCTGGAGTGGTGGAAGTTCAGGCTGAGACCGAACATGTGAGCATATGAGCATTATGAAAAGTGCCACGGTGGTCGACTATGTCTGCAGGGGGCCTGCTCATGGGACCTGAAGGCTCGGCTTCATCTCTCCTCAGAGTCTTGTGTTGTCGCATGTGGCTGCTGGCAGCTCTCTGCTTCTACTGCAGACGGCTCCTCGGGTGGTGCTTCCATCAATCTAGGTTTCACCTGCACTGAGCCTCCTGTTTTCAGCGTGTGTGTGGGGTTGGTGGGTCATTGGGCATGTGGCATTGTTTTTTGATAAACAGTAAAGCAGTTAATTTTACGCCAATGTGAACTCCGTAAAAGTACATGCAGGACTCTAATGTTTATGAGAAAAACCATCACAGACAGTGCAGTTCACAAGAAGATATTTGCATCTGTGCCTTCCAGATAATATTATAGGCAGGGGTGCACATAACTTTTTCAGTGAGGTACTCAGATGAGTACCAGGACATGGTGTTTGGTGCTCATTTGTCGCGCGGTTCTAGAGATAGAGATTTTATACTTGCTTCTTTTTAATGCTAAAGTTTAGATCAGCTCAGATTATCCACTCAATCCAAGTCAAATAACCCATTAAGGCCTGACACACCTGATAAAACAGACCTCAGACCTATAAAACCTATGGCCGATTTTTGAACCACCCTCCAAATCCTGAAATTCAGCGTCTACAGAATGACTGATATCTCGGCCTTTGTAGCAGATTCGCAAGAATTTGAGTGCTGACAATAAAAATGAAGTGTATTATTATAATCCTTCAGTAGAATAATAAAAAGATTATACAACTTCCACACAGGAAAGGTAATAAAACAATCAATAATAATGTGAGACTAACACATGTTTCTCAAAACAGTAAGTCAAAAAGGTCACAACATTTTACTTTTGTGCTCAAATAACATGCATTGTCAATGCAAGCGAAAATTTAGGTACCTGAGCTTTAATTCTGTGAGCTTTGGCTGCTCTTCATCAGGAGACTTGGAGGAGACATGGGAGAGGCATGGGGGACAGACGAGGAAGAGACGAGGGGGACAGGCAAGACCCGCACATGCAACAACCTGGGGATGATCGCGTGTCTATGGTTCTGTACGCGCTCCTATGGTCCGCGCTCGGTCCATGACCACGCGCGTTCGCTGAGCTGTCAAAGCGGCCACAGTTTCTCCCGGGATCAGAACGGAGGATGTTATCACACCACGCCCTAGGAAGGAGCTCCCCACTATTTGAGAAGGACTGGTCCATGTGACGTACGCAAATGCGCTTACTAACTCAACTGATGGTACGCATTTCTGATATTTGTGGCGCATGCGTACCTGCGTACCACTTATGTGCACCCCTGATATGAGAGTTAGTAGAAGTAACTCCTCTGAACTTTGGAAAAGCTCTTTCTTACGTTCCTTTCAGCATAAGTAAATTATGTTCTGGATAACCTCTCCTTTATATTTGTCTTGACACTCAGCGTTTACACTTTCTTTACTGTTTATTGACCTCTTCCAAAGACACATTAACAAACAACACACATCCCATTCAGGGGCCTCTTGTTTTTCTCCTGCTTGTCTCGGCCGCGCTGTGCCAAAGGTAGCCATCCATGAAAAATGTTTTGACCCGCCGTAATTGCCACTTTCTGCAATTTTTCAAATCTCCTTGACCCTAAAGAGTGTGTTTATGAAAGGGATGTGTACAAAGAATGTGCAAAAAACATCCGTGGTCTCCTGAAAGAACATCACATTTCAGGATTGGAGAAAGATTAGGGAACATCAGGCCGACATGTAAATTTGAAATGACAATCTGATAATGAAAGATATAACAAAGCTATTTTTAAGCATGGAGATTGGCATGTCCTTGCACACACCTGGCCACGTCTAACAACAGGCAAGCTAATACTTACAGACACTTTCATTTGGGATGAATGTCACCGCTAATCCAACCTTAAGCTACAACAAATGACTTCTCGTCCACTGCCTCATTGTATTCTCTAAAGCGCTTCTTCCCTGTGCTTGTGTCCTTGAAATGTTTCACCTCACTATTCATCCTACCGTCATATCTCTGATGCTTTATGTGTTTAGTACAATTTTAAAAAATCGTGACCTTTTTTTTTTTCCACTTTCCCCTCCGTCTTTACTTAATGTGTGTGTGTTTTTATTAAAAACATCAGCATACATTGAGGGTCTATGTAATACAAATACTAATCAGTAAATCAGAAAATCTTAACTTTGAGGAGGTAGGGTTAAGCAAAATAATGAATCTATTTCTGTTTAGATCAATATTGTGGCATATAGTAGACATGTTGTAAAATAATGATATTTTTGCTTTCAGTGTTTAATTCCCCCAAAGGAGCATTAGATACATCCTTATGATACAAAATAAAGGATATTTCTAGTCCATAGCCTCGACATGGGTATTAGTTATTGCAGTTAGTATATTACTACTTATATAGGTAACTATTTATTTACACACTGTAAGGCTTGAGTTTAAGTTTGACACTCATCTTGCCTATAAACAAACTACCAAAATCATGTCACAAGATTGTTTTCATTTGTTTGTTTATTTCAAATACATACATAAAATAAAAGCTAACATAACTACCTGTGCATGATTTATTTTCATTTTTGTCCTCACCCAGCCATTCAGACTATTGTCAAAAAAATATACGTGTCTCAGAATTTGATAAAGAGAAAGAAGACGAAGATTTCAAGAGATAAAAACAGTAACAGTATTTAATCATCTTTACAATCAAGTACAAAACTCAGAGCTCATATCCTGACGATCCTATCCCTGGTCTCTCCCTATGTGAGCTAGCTAACAAAACATACAGAACAGTTTTATGTAAAACATGTAGAAAAACAGGAAGTGCCTCCGCTGACGTCATATGGTAAGATCGACTGAGACCCTGGTCTGGTCTCTGGTTCAGGTCTGGTCTGGTCTGGTCTGGTCCTGGTCTGGTCTCAGTCCACTTCCACATCCCCTTTTCTGAAGAACATCTGTGAAAAACAGGAAACTGCCTATTGTCCTCAGTTTGCTGTAAACTCATTTGACCTCAGACTTGTACAGTATGCTGACTTTAAATGAATTTCATGATTAAATATAGAATTTCACAATTTGTTAAATGTTGACACTCAGATGACAGAAAATAAAAGTGTATCAACGTGTGCTATATTTAAAATCTGCAACAAGACACATACTTCAATACAATATTTCATTTCATTTCAGAGGCAAGAGACAAGACAAACACAAACACACACATAAGCGCTTCTTTACACAGGAAAATCCGCAAGAGTCCTGTATTAACTCTGAACCTATTACTAGTTTTAACACTAAAAGTGTGTGATAGTTATTGGTGGGGAAACTGTCAGCGTTGTATGATTTGACCCACCTGACAGCACATCCTCATTTTCAATCCTATTGCAGTGGACTAGTTCAGCCCGGGTGATGCTGAGGCGGCGAAGGTGTAGGAATTCGATTCGGCTGCAGTGGCCAAGCATGGCTGAGTCCTTCCCTGTGTACGGATTAGACTGGGCTCTGGCAGCTCTTATATGACAGGTGTGCACCAGGGACCTGTTAGAGGAGCACCTTGATATTTAGGACTGTGCTGTGGAATTTTCCTACAGCAAAAATGGCCACAAGAACCTTTTAACTCAAGCAAAATGTTGTTTTGGTTGCTTCGTCTCATTACAGAAACACGCACCAAGACCCAATAACAAGGGCCTTGAGCTGTAAAATGTACAGTGTTTGTTTTTGAAATGATTCTATTATGTAATGATGTGCTTTCAAGAAGTTTCAGCGTTAGAACGAAAGTAAATAAAAGTGAGAGTAGTTTTGTTATACCCAATTAGATAGTGTTCATGTCCAGAGAAGAGGTGTTGCAAACTAAACCATGTGCTTTTATGAAAGTTTACTAAGAATAAGAACAGCACAAAAGAGCGACTTCATTCCACACAATCAACATCAAACCATCTCCAGTCATTCAAGACATGTTAGTAACATTTGTGTATATCTAAATGTGAGAAAATGTATTACATGTAAAGAAAAAAGTATAGATCTGATTTTTGAAAGTGCAGAGTTGTTCTTAAACTCTGCTGTGAGAATCCTTGACCTTACCTTGCCCTCACTCCCACTTTCTGTTCATCAAAGGAAGCCACAGAAACTCCTTCTTTGTGCTGATGGATTTCTGTTTAGTAGCCCCAAGTGACCACCAAAGTGTAGCCGCTGTCTCATATAATGTGCTTATTCAGTAATACTAGTTGACCCTGACAATCCATAAGCTGACCCTCTTTATAATGACTTCCTGTCTTTTTCAGATCCTCCTAGACGCCACCACAATCAGACTGGGCAGTATCCCCCTGGGCAGCGCTGTGGATCCTCTTGAGGGGGCGCCAGCAGGAACCACCTACACCAAACAGACTGTGTACGAGCTCTGCTCTTGTGCTAACGGCAAACTCTACCTGTCCCCAGCGGAGAAAGGGTCAACATGTCAAACAACAAGTAACTTTTGTCTCTGGAGCTGAGAGTGACCAAAACAACTGCCCGGCATATGGGCTGCGTGGAAGCCACTTCAAGCCAATGAAAACAATCAGCACAGATGCTGGTTTGGTGCAAAGCAAATGAGACTCATGTCTGCAATGACTGCTCGGATCACAAAGTGTTTGCTAAGAGACCAAATCTCAAAGAGCTTTTGTTGAGCTAGCTCCAGTGGAAGAACTTGACACGGACTAGAGCGGGACAGTCTGCCAGCTCTTTGGTCATATTATCTCTGGACCGATCAAAAGCTTGTGCTTGTGTTTTGAAAAGAAAGGGTCAACTAATTCAGGATTGAAAGTGCAGAGTGGCACATTGCATTTTGTCACTCTCCAGGTTTCATGCTGTGATTGCTGCCATGACAGTTCACCATGCAAAGCAAAGTTTGTGCAAAACAACAGCAAATTACCCCGCAATAAAAAATACTCTGTCCACTGATGACTGAACCTTGGTTGAACCCTGCAGTAAGTAAAAGTGAACTTGGTTTAGCCTGTAGTTAGGATTTGCTATTGGACCAATCTATACCAGAACGGCCTTCCCCAGCTTCACGTCACCACACCCAAAACCATTTATTTATTATCTTCAGATGATCTCTCTCTGTACCGACACTGAAATCATTTACTTTCTGTTTTGTTTTGAAACATTTTGGAATAGTCTCAATGCATTAAATGTGACATGTTCTTTCTTTCATTTGTCAAAACTTATTCCATCATTCTGTCATTTTGTCTACGCTCCACTTACTTTGTACATTCCATTTATTGCTGAACACTTAAATTCACCTGCAAGATTCATTTGGAACAACCCTTTTGGTTTTCTAGTCGGTGGAAAACCACATGTCCCGGGAGTTTACCATGGGAAGCTCTTAAAACGAAACCATGGAGGTAAAACGAGGCCAAGTTCAATCTCACTTTGGGGATAATACACTTCAATATTTTGCCCCAATTTGCCATTTTGATTAAAACTCCATTCCAGAAAGTCTCACTATTCCATTCATCCTTGACGTAATCTCAATCAGAAAATCATCAAACATGTCTGGAATCAGTCTTGCATGAGTGATCAGATTTTATCACCACATTCTGCAAGACACCAGCAAAGTTTGTGTGGGTATCTCCGTCTGGATGAAACACTGGACAGATGCAGTTGGATGATAAATGATTCAAGTGGATCCAGGCCCCGAGGCGAACTTTCTTTTCTTTCTTCTTTTTTTAACAAAGCGAAAACACAGGTGCCTTTGCTGATGTTGGTAAAAGCACATCACCGTTTGGACACTCACAGACCCCTCAGTGGACCGTTTGCACCTCTCCGGACTCTCTCTCTCTCTCTCTTTTATCAATCTACCTATCTGTTCATTTCAACGTCCTCTCCTTTTTCCAAGTTTTTGTAAAACTCTGAGATAAAAAGGATATGATCTATTGTTTGAATGGTTTATTTTCTGACGTGTCCCTTGATTTAATTCCTGAGAACAAAAAAGCACAAATTATGCCATGTATATAACAATATCAATAAAATAAATAAAGTCATATTGTTTTTAAAAAAGTATGTCTTGATGATTCTACCTTTGTTTTGAGCTAAAACGTTGCCTGGCCAGAGAAGACGCCTTTCATCACGTGACATCTTTGGTAAATTGCTAAAAGAACGTGTCCAAGTTGTTTTAATATATTTATTGTTTGTATATTTTCATTTTTTTGTCATTAATCAACATGGCAATTTCACAGAGACGAAAAAACAATGGAAGCCAAACACACAAGCAGATTTCAATATTGAAGAAGTATCCATAATTGAACTGTTTGAATTCTCCAGAGGTGGCAAAATACTTGTTCTTGAGTACTCGAGTAAGTACCAAGGACTTTTGCAGTAATGACATGAATTACGGACGAACACAAGGCAGGAGTTTCTTTTCTTATTTTATTATAAGTTTCTCTTTTTGCAGTGAGCAATGTTCATGTTCATTTCATTTTACACACGTTCAAACAATCATTAATAAAATGAAAGAAGGCACCACCCACGACGGCCTTTGGAAGGGCCGACCGGGAGGAGCGCGTCTCCTGCTGTGAGGTGCGCTTGATTTGAGCGCCTATATGTAGTGCGTGAGGTACTTTTTGAGTTTATTATTGTACATTAACTAGTACAAAAATCAACTCTGGTAAATTTAAAAGGTATTGATCATTCCCGATATTGTAAACATCTGAAAAACATAAATGGTTTAGAGAGAAAGCCGGATCGTACTGTACATTGTGACAGAGTGAGTTAGTTAATCTGCGAAAAAGATCAAGAGTATTATCTTGATCAATTCCAAGCTAGCATCAGAGTTTTCATGAATTTGACTTTTTGTGTTTCAATTTTCAACACAATAAGAGGCCGGACTTTTAGCACTGACAATCCAAACAGAGTGGAGTATGGCTGAGCAGATCTAGTGGAAACTTTGCTTTTAACATTCACTTTGCTGGTTCATTTGAAGTCTATCCCTACAGCCTTTGGTGTCGATGTTAACCAATTAAAAACCTTTCCAATCTCAGTGTGTGAAACAGATTGCCCAACCTGGAGCACACCGGTGGGTGCGATGTCGCTTAAGTTAATTAGTATCTATCTACCATGTCTGTGCAGCCACTATACTGTACCTGCTGCCCCGAGATAGAATTCTGATGTTAACCAATTACTGTGACATTCCAGTCATCGTACCTTATTGCCACTGTTGTAGTCGTATCAGCTAATTATACATGGCAACTTAAAGACATCATATCTGGGTTCAAACTCAGTCATTAGCCGCAATCACTAACAAAATGTGAGTGAAGTGTGTGAACTAGAGCTTGTAGCGGATTTTCTATGAAGATAAAATATTCTGAGGCTAACGGGATCTATGTGGCTTCCATGTTGCAAATTGTAATATTATTTGACTGTGCAAAAGACATTGTTTTCTGTGGGACCAGAGAACTGTACAAAGTTTTACTTTTTACAAGTTTACTTGAGAAGCAACGATCAGGAACAACATTAGAAGTAGAATTGAGGAGTTATGACAAAAGAAGACGTTAATAACGCATACTGCTAAATCTAAATGTGAACTGTTTATGTTCACGCTTCAACGAACCAGACTTTAATTTGGAGTCAAAGGTCAAAATTTGATTAGGAGGCAACATTGAAAGTTGACTGTTTTTTTCCCCAGGTATTCTTTGTTACCTATTCCCAGACACATTTTTGAGTATACTTTATTTTGCCCATGTGTCCTGCAGATTTGACCCATCCTTCTAATACCACTAGAGGAGAAGTGGTCGCCGCAGTACAGCACCGGGAACATTCAGTTGTTGATGCTTAGCTTGGAGGGTTTGACCTATTGTACATGTTTTTTGTGATAGGCATAACCGGACCACCTGGAGGAAACCCAGGCCAACTCTAAGACCCTGTTCCCAAGTCCAGAATGGAATTCAAACAAGGAACCTTCTTGATACAGTGGCAGATTGTTTAGTGCTAACCAATCTGCCACCGTAGTTAGCAAATGCAAAGCAACTACTGCAAGCGCACACTCTCTCTCTCTCTCTCTCTCTCTCTCTCTCTCTCTCTCTCTCTCTCTCTCTCTCTCTCTCTCTCTCTCTCTCTCTCTCTCTCTCTCTCTCTCTCTCTCTCTCTCTCTCTCTCTCTCTCTCTCTCTCTCTCTCTCTCTCTCTCTCACACACTACACTCCAAAATGCATAAAATCTGATTAGAATCCCCCCTCCCCACTTCCTTTTATTCCTTATCTTGATGAATTTCAATGTTGATTTGCGTTGTTTCTGTAAAATGCTATTTGCTACTTTCATTCTTGATGCTTCCAATAAAGATGAAAAAAGCAAATGTAGAGTTGATTAAAATAAGCTATGAAAACACAACAAAAAGGAGAAAAAACATTAGATATTTGACCTGTTTTTATTTTCTGTTTGTCATATAAAAGAGACCATCAGGGATCTCTAGTGATTTAACTGATTTGATAACCCACTTTTTAAACTGAGTTAGTGCCCAATGTTATTGGTCTGGTTCAATTCTACCAATTGCCACTGAAAGTCAATTAGAAGCACATGTGTATACTCGGGTGCGTAATGTCTTTACGGTGTTCCACACAGAGTTGGAATCAATCCTTCTGGTTTCGTAACAGTGTTTGTGACGCTTCCTCAAGTGCGCCCTGTGGTGATTGAATAGCCATTTGTGTTTTCATCTTTAGTTCATTAGCAGTCATCTGGCGTCTGGTCAATATTATCGACCGGAACACAGAGAACACCCACAGCAATAAAGACAGAAAGGTGTGTTTTTATTTATCTTGAAAAAAAAAACAGTACTGTATAAAAGTAGGGCTGTGCAAATTTGAGTCCAAGGCTTACGAACACATTCACACTTGGTTAGAAGACATTTTAAAGGGACCATCAATCAATCAATCAATCAAATTTTATTTATAAAGCGCTTTTCATACAAAAAGTGTAACACAAAGTGCTTTACAGTTTAGTTAAAAACAATCCAACATGCCCAGCCCTAAACCCTCCTCCCCACAGACCCCCCAAAACCACATTTATAATTATATATACAATACACACACCCACACACACACACACACACACACACACACACACACACAACACACACACACACACACACACACACACACACACACACACACACACACACACATATACACAAGTATAAAGTCATATCAGGTAAAATAGGTAAAACAATAAAAAGACATGGGGCTGGGAGCAGATGTAACCGGCTGAAGAAGCGTCATCCAAGGAGCCATCTGCACCAGGAGCAGAGAGCCGGCTGCAGCCACAGGCAACGACACAGGACCCAGAGGAGAGAGGGGCCCCAGACCCCACCAGGCCCAGGACTCAGACCCCATAGGACCCAGAGGAGAGAGGAGGCCCCAGACCCCCACCGGATCCAAGAGCCAGTCCCCCGAAGCCACAGCAGACCCCAGCTCTCAGTGCAGAGGGCTCCTCCAGAGGAAATATGAAATATGAACCATATGAAAGATTGTCAGTAAAGTTATAGTTATTAGCTATAGTAGACAAATGAAACACAACTTTTTTTCTTTAACATTTAAGTTATTGTGATTTTCAAAGATCATGGGTTCAACCCCTTTTAACTTAATATTTTGAGGACCTTCTTGTATCAGTTACTGTGTTGCAATGTTGCACAGATGTCAAACATACTTAAATCTTTGCACTTCAAGGTTCAAGATGACTTTTTTGTATCCATGGTAGAATCTTTTTGCACTTATAAAAGAGGGACTTGGCATCTACCCAAACATAATCATAAGAATCACATTTACACAAATAACAAGAAAAAACACAGCAGATAAGTTGAAGGTAGAAAGACTGTAAAAGTGGTCAAAAGCTGCTTAGTCAGGACTCCAGAGCTCATTTCTGAGTGAAAACACTAGATAAGAAATCAAGTGCAACACGCCACTGTGCACTGGTTGTTCATGTGGCACTACACATCACTGCTCTACACGTGTCGCTCTCTGTGACAACGATACACAATTTAATCTTTGAATGTTTTCAAAGTCAAGCAATCGAATATTTTGATTCATAATGACAATGACAACAGACCTCCTTTTTCATCACGCTGAAACGCATGGATACTCTTTAAAGAAGGTGCTGTATGGGCCATTATATACTTGTAAGGTAATAAAATGCACTGACCCCGCGATGACCCAGGCAAGCCGGCCAAGCTGCGGGGTTGTGTGTGAGATAACAAAAACACACGGCTCGGAACATCTAAGGCGATGGAGGTCGGATAGAGCACCACAATGGCTCACATAGATACAGCAGTCATCTCAAAGACAGTGATCGTCCCCAGAGCACACCTCTGGCCCCCACCCCCGGCGAGGTCAAAGGGGGCCAGTGGGTCGCATCGCCTCAAACAAAACCATAGACATCACCCATGGGCCGGCGATCCGGCAACGGCTTTCCACCACCCCCCCAGTGGACACGGGACGCCAATACACCTGAGACGGACAACTGAAACCACGGATGAATATGTTGTTTTGCTAACACCTTAAATCAGAAAACGTGTGTACCATTGTCTGTGAACAAGGTGTGTTGTGTGTCTATGTCTAAGTAACGTGTATGTGGTTAAAACTATGATTTCATGAAAGGAGTTCTGGAAGCGCGGAAAGATGACGTCATAAGACACGCCCCCAGAGCCGGAACAAAAACAGAGACACAGCAACTTTTCGTGTGTTAACTTTTGCTTGTGAACTTTTTGGGAACTCTCTTTGAAACTTTCTCTGGGCCAGCGCGGCCCACTCCCCTGCGCGATCCAGGGGCCCACAACTTCAACCCAGGCGCAGGTTGGAGCTCGCTGCCCGGACAGCTGGCCGATCCTTTTCCCTATCGAGCTGAACTCGACTTGCCTGTCCCGCAGCGGCGCAACTGCTCTCCAACTCCCACCAAAAAGGAGCACCGTGGACCATCGCGCCTCAAGCCACCTCTGGGCTTCCCCGGGACCGATCCCCGCCCCCTGCTCCCGTGTGTGGGAAAGACTGGAGTGTGTGTGCGCCCGCTCTCCGTGCGTGAGGAAGACTGAAGTGTTTGACCGCCTGACCCAAACGGGTAGAAAGCATCTTCACCTCTGGGACTTGGCAGTAACAGTAAGACTTGCTGGAGTTGTATTGTGTGTGATGGTGATGTGTTTCTGACATTCCTGTTCATGTGACTTATCATACTTGTGTGATCCCTCCCGGTTACCGTTCCCGTTTCTATATGTAGTTAATAAACCCACGCTAACTTTTAAGAGTCGTCAGTGTTCTTTGTATGATTCATGATATCCCTGGCCGATATAGAACTCAAGACCTATCAGATTATGAGACTGATCGAGGCAGAATGGACTAGTTCAATTGCAACTTCTTGCTGGTGCCCCTCTTACTTAAAATTTAGATCCATTCAACCCGGAGTAGGCGAGGTTTAGGACTACGTTTGCGACGTTTTATACCGACACAAACTGATACAAAACCTCCCCTCTCCACATTCACTTTCTTACCCTACATACTGCTATATAGGTATCATACAATGCACATTATTGGGTGAGAGCCAAGCAGGAATGTGAATAGACACAAGTGTTGGTAATGAGTGCATCAGGGAGCCCTCATTAACCTGTCTCCTGGACCAGTCTGAGCCGGTGTTTCCTCTGAAAGGACTTGATGGAGGGGCGCGTCCGACCACCTCTCCTCACTCAGCTGCTCTGATGAAAGAGGAGAAACTGCAAACACCGTGGCTCCAGGGACCTGTTGGAAATTAAATACTGAATTCAATGGGCAGACCGACTCAATCACAACATGCTTTTATAAAATGACTTGGGAATTGCTTCCCCCGCCGCTTTGGCAGGGATGTTATTGCTCTTGTAGCTATTACTGTTTAACTATGTTTCATATAGGTCAGGTGATGCACCCTAACCATTTATTATTATTCTCCAATATCTCACTAGAAAATTGTAAAAATGTAATGTGTAAAACTTATCATCTACAGCACTAAATCTTATTTCGTTTCAACACAACAAGCAGATGTGAACACCATATGTTGAGGCTCATGATTAATGACACAATGACACACACAAGTGTAGTTTGGACAAATCCATGTTAATCTGTACAACACGTCAATGCATCTGAGGAAAAAAGTCACATGGAAATAACACTTATTATTACACTTATTTTCAATATAAATGTATTATCCATACTAACCTGCCTGAGTGGAACAATGCCCATTGAAGAGGTTTTACCGCTGTAAATGTGTCATGGTTGTCTTTTTAGTTTGTTTGCTTGTGTCTTTGTGAGTTTTTCTTCCTGTTCATGGTCGGTTAATTGTCTGTCCTGCTCCGATGTGTTTCACCTCCGTCTCTCAGTTAAAAACTGTGCTTTTTCCCTCAGGCCATTGTATGTATTCCCTGGTTCTTGTCTTCATCCCCTGCTCCTGTCTTTTTTTGTATTTTGGAGTTTGGTTTGGATTCTTGTTTATCAAATTACATATTTTTGCAGTAATGTATTTTATGTCCTTCCTCTTTGATTTGTTATGATAAAATGTTGTTTAGTAAACATGTTTGCTCAACTTCCTCGGTAATGGATCAGTGAGGACAGCGGCAGAATGAAATGGATTGCAGACAAGCTTTCCTCATTTTGTTCACCACTAACCCAGGCCTTCTGTTAACTTTAGGCTATTGAGGGCACCATTAACCCAACTAAATTGAAAGAGAGAAAAAGTACAGGAGTGCGGCGCAAATAGCCTGTTTGAGGCCGCATTAAGGCAAACACTATGGGTGACGTCAGCTACAATAACATTCAACTTATTCTTGTATAGCCCTAAATCACAACAGTAGTCATCTCAGCGGACTTAACAAAACCATTGACATCACCAACACAGATCAGAGAATCAACAGTTAAGACAAAGAAGTAAGTAATCAATCAAAGCGAGTGACTCAGGAGACCATGGGAGTTTAACCAAAGTGTTTTTAGAGGAGGCATGCGTCAATAGACAAGGAAGGAATAAACAAGTGCATCTCTTCAGTCCAAGTTTGTCAATTATCTAAAAAAAGTATACCAGGAGAGCTTCATACAAACAATAAGAATGAGTTGTTGTGACAAATCTGACTGTGATAACCTGAAAGTGACCATCTGAAGGACTTATCAATAGCATTTTACCTTTTCATTTTAGCTTATCTTCTTCAGGACAATAATTGATATTTAAACACATAAGGTTTGTGGTTTAATGTTATCTTTTATTTTCATGGCACCATTTGTCAACATGATTCAATTGTGTACTGTGTCACGCCTGGGGCTTCCTCTGTCCGAGGCTGTTATCGCATGATCTATGAAAGAAAAGCGCCAGGATTACATGAACTGTTCCGACTTTGCCAATTTGATCCCTTCTCCCTGTTGACTGCCAACTGGTTTGAACTGTTTTTCTATATCAGCAATGTGAGCTACAAAAAAACCTGTATCAAAATATAATCCCAATGATGCGTATTTACAATGAAAGTAATTTATAAGTGAATACGTATTTGGCTTTAGATCAAATAACACAGATAATGATAATAATACTGAACTCAAATGATTACTATGCCAGTACTGTTTTCCTCTGATACATGAATATGAGTGATGACAATCAGGTAACGTCCTTTAGTTTCACATCTAAAGTTAGGCACATTTGATCAGCTCACATTTTAGTTTGTTTTTCACCAATAAGTAGACCCCCGTTGAAGACACAGGACATGCTGGGGGTGTCGGCTGACCTAGGAGCGCATCAGGATTCCCCCAGATGAGCTGGAGGAACCGTGTGTGTGGATAGTTGTCTCACTGCTGCCCCCGCAACCTGGCAAAGGATAAAACAGAAGAAGATGGTTGGATGGAGGAGTGTTTGACCATACTCTGCCACATGGACTTAAAGCCTGAGTAAGATTATGAACACATTTCTCCTCAAAAAGTGCAAGGCTTTAAAGTTACAGACAAGATTGAGATTTGGTGTTTAGTTTGTATAGTGGAAACCAGAAGTTTAACATCTCCAAAGTTCAATCAGACAAAAGTTATCCTGTTTCACATCACTTACATTACTATTATATATTACTATCCTAATATAGTTATATTACTATTATATTATTATATGACTATTGTACAGTATTACTATTTTCTCAATGACACATTTTACACATATTATTACATTCTACAAATACAAATCATATTATTTAGTGGAAGTATTTTGAAACTCTTTGATCACACTTTAATAAGTACCTGAACCTCTCTCTTTTTTCCAGTAATTGAGCCAGTTGTTCATGAACACCTGTGCTTAGCTTGGATACCAGCAGCTCCCTGTCTCCTTGTTGCATATTTCCTAGACATTATTTTAATGTCAGTAGACTGTATATTCATTTCTTCTCTGGTGTGTGTTTTCACACATTTGCTGCAGGATTTTTACAGGTTTTGCTTTTCTATTGGCAGCCCATGGGGATCATTTATATTTCATCTAATCCTCTCTTCGCTCTACCTCAGCTCTGCAGCAGGACTGGGATGGTGTTGGCAACGTTAAACTTGCTCAAGTTGGCAGATACGAGGGCTACCTTGAATCTGCTAATGAGAATGTGAAATACCTATCCGTTTCAAACATTTAAAAGGACAGGAGAGGATAGGCAGTCCATAAAAGCTCAGTGAACTTATGATTAAGAATATGACTGACTTTGGAAGATGTATTCATTTGCAGCATGTTTAATTGTTCTTGTTGCACAAATAACAAGATCAATACCTTATGTTTGCACCAAAATACTGTACAACCGCAAGCCTAACAACCCTAACAACCGCAAGCATTGTGTGTCTGTGTTTACAGTAGAAATCCTCCTTGACAAATACCCGCAGGCCCAAGAACAGATACAAGAAACCACTGGACCATCTACGTTCCAGTGAACATAAATAAATCAGGGGGAAATAGCCCTGATTTTGCAAGCACTTGGTTTTTCTTCAGATTATGATGCTGAAATAACCTTTTTTAGGCTGCACATTATAACTCGAGACGGACACTTTGCTTAATATCCCTGGTGCGCTCATGTTACTTTTCCCCTTTTTAAAATGTTTTGAACCAAACTCTTTTGAAAATGTTTAAAGATGCAATATAAGACATGGATCTGCAGGGTTAAAGCAGCAGAATAACTGTTGTGGATCATTACCTGAAAATACTTTCATAGAAAAGATTTTTTTTTAAATATCCTGCACATACTACATTTACCTTTTATATACATTTAACATGTTTGCACACTTCATGTTTTTTGCACAATCTGAGCAATTCAACCTATGCCAAATTGTGAGATCGATAAAGTTTATCTCATCTTAAATTATCCTACCTTAAGATAAACTTTATTGATAGAGAAATTATTCACATTTGTTATAGATAGACTCACTGAGGGTGTGCAGAAAGAATGAAAGTATACAAACTAGTGCTGTCAAAATCAATATTACCACCATATAAGAAAAACTAAAGAAACCAGAAGCAGGAACCAGTCTTTATCTTTCACACATACAATTTTTAATTTGGAGCATGTTCAATCTCTCTCATTCCAATGATGCATCAGTAACAATAGTTCATTCACAGCATATCACCTCGAGCATTTTCAGCCGGCAGCGGTTCTCTCATAATTTCTTGCCGTCACAATTTCCAAGGACAAGGCAACACAAGGCAACAAAAGTCAACAATGTCAACATTTCTTTTTGTGATCCCTAAATGCAGAGTTAAGCCGGTTAGAGTTTAAAGTAGCCACAGCACAGTAAAGTACAAGGAAAGCAGGATTTAGTAATAATGTAGTAGAGAGTCAGCTCGAGGCAGCCTTGTTAGAGATGAATGGGGTTGAAAATAAGTTGGATCTTATTTCTATATCTGTCTGAAATAGCTTCTCCACACAACTGTCTTTCAGAGAGAGAACATGTAGGGTTACCAAATCACCTCATTCAGCAGTTCCAAAATAGGCCATTAGTCTGAGTTTGGAGGAGTTCTATTTTTAACTTTTGGCTCGAGGCTGAAGTCCTGGTGTCTATGAGGGACAGCCATCATCCAGTG